ACCGAAATTCTCTGTTTGCATTAGATTTTTATCAATAAGTACAATACAACGTTTCTTTATACAAATGGTTCTCATAGGTCGCTTTCTTTAGGAATATCAAAATTATTCCAAACAAAATTATTTATCCAAACTCCTAAAAACAACCGACTACACTTCACTACTTTACACAAATAAAAATTTTAAAATAACTTGCATACTCTTTTCTGATAACAAATTGATCTTATCTCTTCTTGAAAAATGTCGCTTCCTTTAGAAATATGGAAACAGACCACTTCGATGGTATAGTGATAAGTGCAAAACAAAAATGTCCGTACGTATTGCGGATCTGGGCAAACCGGCTTTAGTTTCATGGAAGTAATACTCGATGATTTTGCATAGGAATAAAATGCTAATATTCCTCTGTGTCGCTATTAATTTTGCAGTTATAGTATAGTTCAGTTTATTTGCTCCCGTTTTTTATTTCGAAGGCGGATCTGCGACTCGAAACTGCTAAGTTTTTCACGCATCCAAACGATACGCTTCGACTCGCGAAATCACGCTGGAATCGCTCGCTCTCCCACCTCTTGCGCTAATTTTAACGAGAAAAAAGAGCTTTATGAACGCAAATGACCTTCACTGGCGTGCCCTAACAACCAATAGAATATCCGCATTTTCCTCACGTGAGGGAACGGTTCGAAAGTTTTAGGTTCAAACAGATCGTGGCAACCGCGCTCACCTTCCCCAATACGTTTTTGTGTTTCTTTCTATCGCCAGACTTAATTTCGTTCACGTTCACTATGAAGCGGTACATGTGGACTATGTTGCCCAACATTCAAATTTAAAACCATTTTTTTAAAACGGCCAAGCAACCCCCTGTTACATCATCTGAGGCAAGTTTGCGGTCACTGAGGTATTGTTTAGTGGCCTTGAACATGGCGAGCCTTGAGGACAATGTTGTTTTGGAAAATTTAGTAGGGATCGAAAGGTTCACTTCTGGTGGCTAATACGTCCAAGGAGGGATTAGATGTTTATCGTTTGCAGTGATTTCTGATCGATATCTGGTTATTGTTAACATGCTTTTTATGCGGATGTAGAATGGTTGGGGTAATAATGCGTTGCTTAGGTATTTGTTGTAATGTATCATGTAATTTTTTTGGTCATTGACCTTTTGATTTAATATCGAGTAGAAAGTCTTATCTTTTAGATATAGTCCAATATAATGGGTCACCCTGTACGTGAATTTCATTTAGTGTGAACGTTAAATGTTGGTTGGAATTTGGGAATAAACACTATCTCGATTATATGAATTGAATTTGAGGTAATGTTGATGTTGATCAGAATTATTTAGTTATTTGTCGTTTGATTTTGTTTAAATAATTGTTTTGTTTATTTTGTTTTGGTAATTGAAATTTGAATTTCGTGTCAAAAGACTATATTTATTCAGTTAGGAATTATTTGCGTAGTATTTGTAAAATATTAATAATTATCTCATGTTTAAGGTAATTAATATTTCTTTAAATTAATTGTTCTATCGATCGCTTGCGTGGTATGTGTTATTCTGTCCCTGAGTGCCTGACATCCGTATTGTTGCAGGGTATCAGTGAAAAAATTTTTCATCTTGGAGTCGTGCGATTGAAGTCAAAATAGGCATTTCAAATCCCCGATTGCCATCGGGGCCACCTATTGATAGGTGATAACAGAATTGAAAAAAAGTGCAATAGTGTTCGCGTAATCGTATTTTAACAAAAATTTCCATTTTCATATAGAACTTGAAATTGATGTCGATCTGTCATTGATGACAGGAGTCATTATAGACATTACCAGTGTGACAGGTACGGCTAGCAAAGTGACAGGCGGCAGGAAAAGTTGTTTGATGAAGTTTCACTGTCTCTGCCATGGAAACGAAAATTTTTTGACATAGTAGACATCAAAGTGAAGGTTTCGTGACGACTTTTGGTAAGTCATTGCAAAGCTTCTGATAATTCTGAATTTAATTTAAACGTCAAAACAAGCTTATGTTCTGCCGTCGGGATCGTTTTCATAGAAACAGTATTATCATATGTTCTGAACGTCATTTTATATCGTGCTCCGCCTCCCATTTGAAATAAGAATGACACGCCTCGGCGTGTTCTCAACGTAGTGGATGTCTGTGTATGTCGATTTTAGAAGTTTTTATTGTCTGTAGTAGAATTATTTATTTCCGAATAGAAACAGTCGGAAACAATATTATAATTTTTCATGTGCTCTATTTCTGACGAATTGTAGGAGTCGGAACTGAGAAGGGGGGGGGGGGGGACATCCTGAAATTATAGGCTTTGATTCGTTATGATGATAATGAGTTGGAAACCCAGTTGGTTTCAACAGGATGGTGTACCCGCGCACAACGCCCTGATTGTGCGAGATATGGGATAAATTTTCCATTTTCCAGGAAATGAATACATATTTCGTTAAAGTGGAACCTGTAATAATAAAGTTACCTAAGTTAAAAATAAACTACCAAAACAAAACGCCTACTTATACATTTTACGGGTAGATATACGTAAATTTAATATACAGGGTGCAAATTTTGTCTGGAACTCTGAATATCTTCAAAACAACATTTTTCTTAAACGAGTCCTTTATGGTATCCAAAATTATAAAAAGTTTGCTGCCAATCTACGTACTTTGAATTTGTGGTCAGTGGCGTACTTCTGCATGGTCAAGGAGGGCTAATTTTTTTCAACCAACATATTGTTTCTTGGATATAACAGCAACCAAAATTTATTACATTACATAGTCAAATTTAAGAGATCCCTATGCTACAATTCGGTACCACTCTTTTGGAAGGGATAGTGCTTTAAAGCTAGACAATATAATAAAACCCCGATCTCCGGAAGGATTACTGTTGAAATTTGGTGGATATTCTTTAAGACCGCCACGTGATCGCTCGCGAAAATTAGCTTCGAATCACCGTTCTTCCATTTCTCTCGTTGTTTAATTTTCGCCCGCTAAAAAAACCGAAAAGAGACTTATTTCCGAACACAAAAAAATTAAAATCCGCATTTCCGTCACGTGCTCAATTTTAAACGGAACGAAACGTTTAGGTCACAGACATTGTGGTACCGTGGTCGCTTTCTCTACAGTAAATTTCTTGTTTTCACTTTTTATCGCCAAACATACTTACGTTCATGTTTGTTATGAAGCGGTGCATGTGCAAATTTCCCTATGTTGACCAAAATACAAATTTTTTAAAACGGCCAAACGATTCCCTGTTGTTTTGGTAAGAGAGGAGCCGAAAGCTTTTCATTGCTAAATGAGTTCCTTAGTCACCTTAGTCTTACGGATACAGAAACATTTGTCGAATTGGTGTAATATCTCAATAATCTGCGACCTTCAAAATACGAAATTGAAAATAAGCCCATGGATTCAAAATCCTTCTTCATCAAATTTTCTGAAACCTAAAAATAAGGCAAATCAGATAATTTTGGGAATGACATCAGACATAAGCATGGAATCATTGTTCAAAAGAATTTCACTGAATGATTTTTGGTGCAGGATTCGCGATAAGTATCCACAACTTGCCACAGAGACTTTGAATGTTTTTCTACCGTTCCCAACAAAGTACTTGTGTGAAACGAGATTTTCAGCATTTGTAGCTATAAAAACAAAGTACCGCAATAGACTGGATGCCGAACCAGACATTAGAATTCAATGTTCTTCTATAAAACCTGACGTTACCCAGTTGATAGGGAATAAACAAGTTGTAAATCATTGTATGCATGATGAAAGCGCATTTTTGGAAATCAGTATTTGACTTTCCAATTTTAAAATTATCGATCTCACGAGTAATCCAACTCAAAATAGACTAGAACCTGCACATCTACACTGTGAAAATTAAAGTCTCTAGCTATTGTAATTGGTAAGATCTCAGCCGGACAGCCAGTCAGCCAGACAGCCAGCCATATCGAATATAATAGCGTATAATTTTCAAAAATGAGCTAAAAACATACTTCCTATTAAATGAACTTAGTTTTATAATTTGTTTGGTAACTTACTACTTACTGTACCTACCTATCTACCGTTTTTGTATGATTTTAATAAACAAGACCCATATAACTGCTTTTGCTTTTAGTTTAGGGGTGTAGGGGTTTAGCGTTCCGTCGCCAAAAAAGTTTGAGCACCGCTGCTCTATATAGATTCATTGTTTTTTTTTCAATATTTATGAATGCCCCAATAGAAAGATTTTGAATATGTTTATACATTCGCAATGAAAAAATGTAGACAGATTTAGCTACCCTAAAGTGAATAATGGCCACAAGAAATCCTAGAAGTGAGGTATCTAATTACCGATTCACACAAAACACGAGAAATTGTTTGAAATTTGTAATTGCATTGAATATTAAAAGGATTATAGACTAATCTTTATTGGAACATCGTTCATTAGATGAATTTATATGGAACTTTTATTAGGTATAGTCTCGCAAATAAAAGTGCGACAGAAGTGGGATGTTATTGCTATTTGCTGTTATTTAACGTTAAGTCGTGAATGTGTAATAAAATTAAGAATGTTTATGAAAATATCAAATAAGACAAAGATTTGGGACGAACGACAGCGGGAGAGGGCGAAAATCGTTGTACGCAAAAGCAAATAGAATGGAAAGATAAGAACGTGGAAAATTATTCTGCAGTTTCTAAAAGCCGCAGCAAATAAATATCTTCGCACAAAGCTCGCACCATCTATCCTTCTTACAAGAAAACAAATCCATTAAACCCCTCTCACTTTAATCTGACCATAAAAAAGTGTTTAGTGTTTAGCCATAAACTGTATCGGTATCCCCACTATTAGAAAACTCCGGGTCCCGGAAGAGAATCATGACATAATGCTCAAGTTCGTCTCACTCCTTTTCCTTCCTACTTTATAGTCCGTCTCCTGTCTTCATGTATCACTGAAATGCATGATCCCGCCTCCCGATGCCGGGATACCGTTACGCGTGCGTGTTCCCGAACTACATCTGGGACCACCCCTAGCAACCTTAGTATATCTCCTGTTTATCTGTCATCTCGCTAGGCAACGCCATCCGCGAATATTCCTCCGATAACGACGACGACGACGACGCTCGCGCTTGCGACGGCGTGAGCTTTTTCCCCTTAAAAACAATAAAAACGTTCTAGGAGCCTACACAAATAAATAAATTAAACTCAATTGCATGCATCCGATTGTTTGTGAATATTAAGGTGCTTTAATAATATACAATTAGATTTTATAAACGCAAAACCATTACTGTCCATCTTTAACTCTGTGAGCGGTGACATGATAATGTGCTGAGACAATTATTAACGTTAAAATATTCTACCTACACCATCAGTGCGTTTAATAAACATTTTTAGTGTGAGATTAGGGGGCACGTCACCCCAAAGCCGGCTTCACAATATTCGGGGACAACCATAAAGTGAGTAATTTTCTTGCATTTCTTTGCCACTTTCAATCAAAAGGTTTTCATTGACACGAGTGACATCCATTTTTTGGGAAAATTCGCCAAAAATTGATGGCATCACTCGCTAAACCCTTCCTTGAAGAATTCAAATTTGTATCAAAATTCAAGTTTTTACTTTATATCCAACGTCAGCATAAGATTTTGAAGTAGAAAGCAGCTTGTCACTGTGGAACTAAAGCAGTGAATTTTTTCTCAAAAACAGTAGAGAAAATCGTTGCAATCGAAATTATGTGATAATAAAGACATTAACTCCCAATTGGAACTTGGAAGAAAGACCCGCCTTAAGTGCTCATTTTTTCTGCATGACTGATTTGTCACACTGCAAAATTATATCAGGAACGGATCTATACGTAGGTTTTTTGGGCGAAAGCAAAGGGTCACCGATGCATATTTTGCAACAGATGACACGAAACACAGTCAATTTAATAATATAGTATTTTAATACACCAAAAAAATATGATTAAGAAATCATGAATCAGAAAATGATTTCTTAAATCAGCGGTTCTTAAACGTTTTTGGTTACGGAACTCAAAACCTAAACTCTAAAGCCCTAAACTAAAAGCTATATGTGTATTGTTTATTAATAACCATACAAAAACAGTACGTTAGTCAGCAAATGATAAAATAAAGTTCATAGAGTCTATAATAGCAGAAGAAGCTTCTGTGGAATGTTGTGGATACACGAACGCTGCACCAAAAAGCATTCAGTGAAATTGTTTTTAACAATGATTCCATGCTTCTGCAAATTGGAAGGAAAAAGGTTTATTTTCAGTTTCGTACTCTGTTCTTCAGGAAATTAAAATTGAAAAGTCGCAGATTTTTGAAATATTTCACCAATTCAACAAATATTTCAGTTTAAATCACTAAGACTAAGGTGACTAAGGAACTCACTTAGCAATAAAAAGCTTTCGGTTTCTCTCTTACCACAAGCAAACAAAAAAATCTAATTTTCTTTTAAAAGTAGTTGTAGTATAGGGCAATTGCCACATGTACCTCTTCATAGCAAACGTGATGCAACGCCAACTTAGCGAATAGCCGCAGCTGGACTGTAGATCTAGGGGGAAATAATTTTTAATTTTTGGTGTACACCCCTCGGAATTAATTTGAATTAATATGAATTAACGTGAATTAATTTGAATCAACGTGAATTAATTTGAATTAACGTGATTTAATTTGAATTAACGTGAATTAATATGAAATATCGTGAATTAACTTGAATTAACGGGAATTAACATCAATTTACATGAATTATTTTGAATTAATGTGAATTTGAATCTTGGGTGTACACCAAAAATTGTACACATGTCCCCCTAGCCGTAGATGCTAAGAAATCCAGCGACAACTCGAACTCCTAAAGGCACCACACATGCCCAAATAATGCCAATCAAAACACAAGCGTACAGCTGATCAGCCAGCCAGAACTAACAGACAAAATGTGATTGCACGAACAATAAATATACAGTGCTATTTACTAAGAAGTAGACACAGGGATTTATGTGTATTGTTTTTCCGTAGGTCTACTTCCAAATGGCAAAATATCTTCTGAATTTTATGCAACCAAAATAATAAATGAAGATCTGGCTATCATATTAATTAATTGGAATATTGTTGCATTGGCTTCCGTATTTTAATTTTCGTTTAAGTGCGATGTATTCAACTGAAGAAAAAGTTGTCAATTGGTATAGTGCCGGTTACAGTTTAAGGAGTGTAAGAGATTTATTTTCTGTCAAAGCAACAATATTCAAAATAATTAATAAGACAGCCAGATGTTTATTTGTTTTAAAAAGTTATTTTGGATGCATAAAATGAAGCGCCCTTCAGAAGAAATGTTGTCTTTTAAAAGTAGACATAGGGAAAAACAATACACATAAGTCCATATTTCTACTTCTTAATAAATATCACTGTATACGTCCGATTAATACATAAGGACCCCAAAATATCACAGTTAAGCAACAATATCACAGTTAAACAAGCAATAAAAAAAATGACCAACGATACAATTATGTGGGTCGCCGAATCAACTGTACTCCTCTTGCTTATGAAAAACAAGAAAAGTACAATTATCTCACCTTCAACCACCTACTATGACTTCGATAACGATATTTATACCGTGTAGCAGAGGACTGTATCTTCCACAACAGCACACCAAAACCCAGTACGCAATACGATCTGGTTTTTCCTGGCACAAAGCTCTTAATACAAAAATATTAAAGTCAAACACCGTTAGGTGTTGCGCAACAACTACCGGTACCTATTCAGCTTAAATCGCTGCAGCTCCTAATAAAATAGTACTTAAAAAAGTGTTGATTCGGATACGAAATCACAGCAAGTCAAATAATTGCAATTACTAAGCATGCACAGGCACACTATTAAATTCAAAACCCAATTAATTATTATTTATCAAATTTCCAGTAATCACTGGCACCCGCTCCACAAACCAATTAAAATTACATAAACACATAAAATATATCAATCCCAATTGATCTATTTTCCGCAAACCAAACCAAACGGACGCCTAGATAAAAATCAATTATTCATCAGCACACAATTTCCAAACGTGTCCAACGTTTAACGAATCAGTCCCGAAACCAAACGACAACATGACCAAAATCTACAGTATGAGCATAAATCATAAACTGATCTACTCCTACACGTGGCCAACACTTCGACAAAAGTAACCGTCACATTGAATAAAAGCATGTCTGGCGATAACAAGAAACGTATTGCGGAAAGCGAGCGCGGTTGCCACGATCTTTTGGGACCTAAAAGTTTCGTTCAGTTCGGTTTAAAACGGATTTTCTGTTAATTGTCTAGGTCATTTGCGGTCGAAATTCAAGAACTTTATCAGAGTACCTTATAGCGAAGAGTGTAAACAGTTTAACTTCGAGCAATAGCTATTTATTATACAACACGATAAAGGGATGTTTAACGATCGAGTGAAATGAAATCGTTAGCTTCGCTTTATCGTAGTATACGAGTATAATGGAAAACTTTATTTTATAACACAAGGCAGAGACATCATTATAAAACTGTAGACGTCCAAAATAGCAAGCTTAGATTCACCCGTCGTTTCCAAGAGAACAATATTGTGCTTTGTTCTGAACTTCATTTTATTTCCTGCTCCGCGTTCAATTTTTAATAAGAATGACAGATGTCAATGGAATGCACAATGATTTATTTCACTTTATCTACCCTTGCCGTTAAAACAGGCACATAGTCTACTCATTCAAACCTATTAAAACCTCAATTTAACATCTACTAAAAATAGAATAAGTAGTGCGAGCACTCCGAAAGGCTGAATAACTCGTGAAAAAACTTTAAGCAAATTCGGGCTTACGACAAATTATGAGCGATCTGCAATTATAAAAAATTGAAAATGAAATCACTGATGTAGTTATCTTCATGCTCGGAACGTTTTATTTTCGCGTTTGAACAATGAGGAATTTGGAGCTCCGTTACTCGGAAAATTGCTCGATTAGATATTAGACTATAATGGTTGGGTAACCCAGCTCTTCGCGCGCGTTTGTTACTGGTGCCCAAATTTTTTTTGGATGAGACATAAATTGGATTGCGGTGACTGTCACCTTGTTCAAACACGTAGTGGGCCGTTAGCTTGCTCGTCGTTCAACGTTTTTCCTCATTCTCTCTCTTCCGTCGGTTCCAAATTCATACATAAATGCCTTAGTAGACGCCACCAATATTTACCAATAATATTAGTCATCTCATTATCACCCAAAAATATCCCTTCGCGCCATAAAAAAGTCATAAACCCAAAGTTATGGAATCTTATTTGCACCCCGTCTCATACGCCCCATGGTCACTTGGTGACTCTGTTCTTCATGTCCGGAACAGAGCCGCCAAGTGACTATGAAAATAAAATATGTGGAATGAGTTGATTTTGCCCATTATATGAGGTGTTTTCTTGGGACTCAAATGTCCCCTGCGGGACAATACATGGTGAAAATTTTCTCTGGAACACTGAATGCATCTTCCAAATTACATTTGTTGTAAAGAAACTTTTCATGGTATTGAAAATTATAAATAAATTGCTACAAATCTACGTAGTTTAAATTTGTGGTTAGCGGCACACTTCTTCATGGGCAAGGGAGGCTTATTTTTTTTATGACAACCACTAGTTTCCATTACCTATTGTTGAAAAGTACACTTTTTTAGATATAGCAGCATAAAAAATGAAATATGACACCAGTTTTCAATTGAAGGAGTCCCTTTTGCTGTTTTCACTTTCTAGATCCCAGTTTTCAGCTTTTAGTTTATAACGTTCCATTTAGCTTTATTACTTTTCCTATCCTCCTCTAGTGTGAAATTGTACAATCTTTAGTTTGGTTCGTTCCTATTTTTTATTCTTTACAATTGCGATGTGAAGTCGGCCACTGATTTTGGTGGCCCTTTTCCCGATTTATTGATCCATTGGACCTTAAAAAAAATATTAGTAAAAAAAACTGTTAATTTTATTTGGTTGTTAAACTACTCTGCTGCTGTACTTGAGCAAAAATTAAAAAATTCTTATTCTTATATGATCTGGAAATTGTAACGGGTGTTGGCTTTTCAATTAAAAAAAGGATTTTTTTGTATCTTGTTCACCATAGGAAAATTTACCGCTTCATAGCGAACGTGAACGAAAATGTCTCAGACGATAATAAGCGATATCAAGAAACGTATTGAGGAAATCGAGCGCGATTGCCAAGGTTTCTTCGGGCCTAAAAGTTTTGTTCCGCTTTGTGAAAAGACGAGCACGTGACGGAAATGTGGGTTTCCTAATCGTTTAAAGAGGTACGTGAGTCGAGATAGTTTGGTTAAGAAAATAGCGATCTTTGATTAGTTAATTAAATATGTATCTGACTGCAAAAATTAAGCGCTAATTTTAGAAAATAGCGAAAATCATACAAACACAACCACACACATGTAATAGAAAACACTGTCATAAGTTATGGATC